CATCAATTTTGGACAAGGTGTAAAATTTTTGACCCCAGGTCATGTCAGGTCAGGTCACCAGGTCAAGTTAACTGACCAAGCCTAAAAAAGTTTGCAATCATGTCCAGCCTGCAATGTTTGTCAGAAAGGTTTTAAACTTGGTGGACTACATAATGTTACGGGCGCCTACAATTTGTTTATCTCGGATTTTTTATATCCGTGACCTAAGGTCAGGTCAGTGGCGTAACCTTACCATTATAAGTCAATGGAGAAAAATGAAAATGCCTCTAGATCCGTGTGTACGCATAGGAACAGTCCAAATATTTCAGAATCACAATGATTTGGACCACCTGTGACGACCAAGGTGTCTTTTTTGCTGATAAAGGTCATCCGAGGTCATTTGAGGCTACAAACAGATTTTTGCCAAAAACTCTCGATTGGAAAGAGATAGGACGCTGGGGATGGTCTCATTGTGTTTGTCTTGTTGAGACGCATCGAATGATATGCAACATGACCTTTTCCGGTCAGGTCATGACCTTGACCTGAGGTCAAATTTTCAAGTTGACCTTTCAATGTCAAATTATAGTTCATTCAACGCGTCTCGGCGAGAGGAGCACGATTCTGGCAATAGAAATGTTGTGGCTTTTTTTTTAGTCAAAAGTCATTGTCGAAAAACACATTTCGTAAAAAGAGCTATTTTTGGAGTTTTTGCCCTATGGAGGCTAAACCGTTGACCTAAGGTCAATTTTGATAATGACCTTATCGAAAGAAGAGTTCGAAAGCTATCGATTGTTTCTCCAAGCGTTTTTCTATCTATCATAGTTCCTGAGATAAATGCATGTTTTCTGAGAAATATAATATTTGGAAAATTTTGACCTTCGATGACCTCCAGTGACCCCAATCTAGATGAAAAATGACCGAAATACTTTCAAACGTACGCATTGAGAGCTATCGACTGCTTTTTACCGCGTCTTTCTAGCCCTCTTAGTTTTTGAGTTAGTAGCATATGCCCCCCCCCCCCCCCCAGTAGGGCGAAGTTGGCTGAGACCGCCACTGGGGCGCGGGTTAATGGAGTGTTTATCTGCGCCATTATATGCAGAAAAACGGCCTAAACAATATTGTATTGTATTGTATTGTATTGACAATTAAAACACTCTCCATATGTATTAAAATGGCTATTCTGAGTGTCGCGTCTAGGAAAACGAGTTAAAAGGGGAAAACGGGTTAAAATGCACCCAAATCACAGCACTCAGTAAACATATCGAACCATTCACTCATCCCTAAATACGTAAAAACCACTTGGAAACAGAGCGCTTAAAACTTCCCATAGACAGGCTCCTTAAAGGTAGTGTGCCAGCTTTCCTGGACCGTATGGAGTTAATGGCCCAGATAAGTAGAACCGGATTTTTAGAACTTATCCATACCTTCAAAACTCATAGAAACGTCTTAAATTCTTCAAATTTTGAGCACCCCAGTGCGAAATTCGCCCCGACGGGTTGTCGGTCGTACCCCAACCACATTTCACACCACTATGAACAATAAATGCACACACTGAAATCGCTATTACCGATAGGCTCATCCAATCAAGTTTCGATAAACCCGTTCATCATCATCTCCTGCGGTTTCGAACACGCCTGTTAGGTGGTGCGGTAGACCGCGCCCAAAGCCAGGGCCCCGGTAACGTGAGGTAGCCGAGTCGGGGCAGCGTGCGCTGACCCAAGCCGGGGCCGCGCCTCCTCCCGGTGTCATGTGATAGCCCCGGGCTGCCCGCGGGGATGCGGTAGACCGCGCCCAAAGCCGCGGCCCCGGCTTGGGTCAGCGCACGCTGCCCCGACTCGGCTACCTCACGTTACCGGGGCCCTGGCTTTGGGCGCGGCTTCTGCTCATACTTTGTGGTGCGGTGGTGGTGCGTCGGGCCGCGCGCTCTGACTTCGGCCAAGAAAAATGCGTCAGCTGATCATTGTCATTTCTGCCACTTTCATGTGGTGAGATGGGGTCATAACTTTAGAGACGGTTGTTTCATATCAATTATTTTACATAAAATAATATTTCAAACCATAAATTAATGTTTGACAGCCAAATTAAAGAAATAATACCAATACAGGCGTACAGTTTAAATTCGACATTGTGTTGTCTACGATTAGACAGCTGATAACTCATTCCCGTACGTCGTAACTCTATAATGACCTTTGCTTATTGTCACATGTGCGCCGCATTCGTGATTGTTGCCGACGCCTGTTTGCAAGGCAGCCCACTACAGTTGTTATACATATCGAAAAACCGATAAACTTTTAGGCGAAAAAGCACTATTTTAGGCCCATTTTTGATTTTTTTGCGATATTAGGTAAAAACAGAAGCTTCTTATCCTAGGAAAAATAAAATGGGAAATCATTCGAAGGTGGCACACTACCTTTAAATCATGGGGTAGGCGATTATATAATTGGGCGATGCTGTAGAGCAGACGGGGCCTTCCTGCTTCGGTCCTCACGCGTGGGAGAGCCAGATCAGTGTCTCGCCTTGTCGCGCGTGAACGCAGGGAAGAGTTGGTCAGGATTGGAGAGGATATAGTCTCCGGCTCTCCAGTGCAGCGTATTTTGTGAAGGAAATTGAGTGAGTGGATTTCGAACAGCTGACGGGCGGTGGGCCAACCAAGTTCCTCAGGCGACCCCGTCTATTTTTTTGATGTCATGTTGGAATAATCGGCCTAATTTGTTACTAATTATCGTGATTTGCGCTTCTCAGTTAATATAATAATTTAGTATCATTCATAGCCAATGTGTAAAGCATCTGGGCTTCAAGATAAGAAGAGGAATACTCATGATATTGCGTAAAGAAAGAGCCTTTGTCTTCAGGCAGAACCAAAGGGAACCAACAAGACTGGTGTTTGGTGTTGTGGTGTTATTTTTTTCGTTTTATATCATCTATTTGCTACAAGCACCCAACAGTAAGATGATAGTGTATTAACTAGTGGTCAGCTTACAAGTTAATTGCTCACACAGAAGTGGAAAATAATGATGGAAGGTCATTTTCGAAGGTGCTTGAAGAAATGCTGGAAGGCGAAACAGAGAGGGTTGGGTGGGACATAGCTTGATTTTAGCTTATGTTTTTCATGCCAGTTCCTAGAATAAAGCAGCCAATGTTTTCTGTCATGTGAGTAATATAATGACAATATGCACAATTGCAAGCTGTGGCATGTTGTGAGGTTTTTTTCTTGTTTGTTGCTGAGGTTTTTCCAGCCTCCGCTGCAAAAACGCTGGTGAATCCACCGTCGTCCGACGGTTTCGATGACGCTGAATCATCGGCGAGCGATGCTGTGGTGGCCGACCTGACTGAGCGCACAGCGGCAGCCGCCGTCGCTAATGACGACAGTGAGGACACCTCCGAGTCGGACGGAGACACCGCCGCGGACGACTTCATCGTGCTGGACGAGGTGGAGCGCTCGGGCCGACGGGCCGTGCACCGCGTGCGCTGCCCGACTGGGTGGCGCATCCGCAGCCGATTGGCGACCGGAGGCCGGCGCCGGCCAATCTACTGCCCCGAGCTGCCCCGAGCTCTGCCCCGAGCTGCGCGCCCGGCTGGCCGCCGAGGGCATCGAACGGTTGTTCCCGAAAAAAACCACGCGGTTTTTCGCAGATATCTCAAAAACGGCGGCGCATGAACGGCGCTCCGCGCAGTTCATGCATTTTTTCCGCATATGTGAAAATTTCATACCCAGAGCCTTCCAGGTCACCTCACCTCACCTAACTTCAGAAAAAGTTATAATCCTCGTCAGAGCTACAGCGGCTGGACGATCGCCCTGAAACTTTCAGAGATTGATAAGAGTAACAGTATGTACAAAATGTATATCTCGGAATTTTGATATCGGTGACCTATCGGCTCAGGTCAATTTTGGGACCTCTCCATTATAAGTCAATGGGAGAAAATTGAAATGCGCCTCTTGTGGACGAATAGTGTTCAAAACCCTCTGAAACATCGGTTCATGAGTAAACATGACGCACTGATACAGAAAAATGCACCTGTGACCCCTCTGTGTGCCCCTGAGGTCATCTCAGGTCACGAGCGGTCACCAGCAGTTTTTGGTTATAACTTTTGATAGAGATGTGCTAGAGTGATGAAAACACGTCAGACGTATTGAGCTCGACGATACGGATCGACCGATATGCAACATGACCCTTTCCGGTCAGATCATGACCTTGACCTGAGGTCAAATTTTAAAAATGACCTTTTAATGTCAGCGAATAGTTCATTTGACGAGTCTCGACGTAAGGAACACGATGCTGGCAAAAGTAATGTCGTGGCTTGCTTGAATCAAAAGTTATTACCGAAAAACTGCTTTTGGTGAAAACGGCTATTTTTTTACAGTTTTTGCTCTCTGGAGGCTAAACCGTTAACCTGAGGTCAAATCTGAGTACAATACTCAGAAAGGTCTGTAAAAGGGCTATCGAATGCGCTTTTCCGCAGCGATGTAGCTCTATTGGTTCCCGAGTTAGCCGTTGGCAGTTGCCGAAATTGTTGAAATGGCCTACATTTGACCTTTGATGACCTCTGGCGACCTCACCTTTGACCTGACCCAAGAATGACCGTGATTCGTCAAAAATGAAAGTGTTTCGGTCATTATTTTTTACGCTCTTTCGAATGCCGCTTACCGCGTGTCGCTACGTGGCCCAGGAGCTGAGTTAGACGGGGGTGTTCAGACCCCCCCGTCCCCCCCCCCCCTCAGCCCGGCGTGCAAGTCGCGGAGCACCGGCCCGGCGCGGGTAAACATATTACGTGGCGTCAAAATTCAACTTTGGGAATACAAGAGAGCGTCTTGATGAGACATTTCCAACACCGCTCGCGCGTCTCGGTACGCTCGTCAATATAATAGAAAATCCGGGGGTTGTAACGCCCTCGACCTCCTCGGTCAACAGAGTTCGGTTGTACGCTCAATCACACGCAGATTAACAGGGATCATGAGTATTCAGGGAGCCGCATGGTCCCCTATTCCGTCATGGTACTTGGAAACTTGTATAAGCACCTACCTTGTATACATCGCCATATGTTCCACTTCCAATCCGCTGAATCACTTCGTAATCTTCCTGAGGATTTCTGCGACTTATGTCTGCGCAGAGCTTTTGCTTGCCAGCCATCTTGTTAGCTGCAGGAAACTATTGCACTTTATGCCTGGCAAAAGATAAAATACATCGGAGTGACCAAACAGTCGGAAGCCAGTCTGAATGCTGTGAATGAGCATATTGATGAATCGAAACTTTGTTCAAGCACAATGGATAGGGGAGAGTGGGGTAATTTGGCCGCTTTTTTTAGAAAACGATGTAACTAAAAATCGACAACACATTTCTACATTTTCTCAACGCTGACAGGTGTGGCATACATTTTACTTTCCTGGACAGTAAACTTTAAATGATAGGGTAACTGCTTATAGTGAAATTGTGACGTATTACAAAGGTCTGCAAAGCGGCCAAATTGCCCCACTAGCAGGGTTATTTGGCCGGGGGTGTGGGGCAATTTGGCCGGTGTTAGTTTGAGGCCATGATTTTTGTTATCGGCGAGTCAGCTTCACATTCAGCAATGACGCGTGTCCTACGACGCATTTGAAGCATTTTGGAGGTTGACTCAGCCGTCACAGGGGTCGAAAATAGTCAAAATAGCGGCTCTAGATGCGATGACAGTTTTTTACGAATAGCTTTTAAAGTAATCAAGCTAGGCCAAAACTAAAAACACCATCGTAATTCTCTCGTCATTCCGCATCGAAACATGTATGTGTTAACCTCGAGAGGTCAAGGTCAAAGGTTGGCTTCAGGTCACGTTACCTCAGGTCGCTTGACCTCAAGGTTACGTGAGTTCAAGGTCATCATGTATACCATTCGATGCGCCTTGACGAGCTGAACACAATGAGACCATTTGCGCGGCTGTATCTTTTTTCTGTAAGTATTTATTAGCAAAAAACCGTTAGGTAACCGTTGATGACGTCACATGCCCTTACAGCTGTCCAATAGGAAATATGGCATCGAGGTAGTCAAAGTTGGTCATGAATTATGTCCTTTATGGTATAATTGACCGTGACAACTCGGCCGTCCCAGCATAGTGACTCTAAGCGCACCGGCCAAGTTGCCCCGCTAGTCCCGGCCAAATAACCCCACATTGCCATTCTGAAAATTTTTGTCTATAAAGTCGTCATGGCTGTACAGAACTAGATGAAATTGCTCTTGGAACCGCTGAACACCCTCAAGAATGGCGCTATAATGTTGGAATTCGTTTACAGCCCAAATACTACATGTTATACAAATTTTTAAACGGAAGTAAAAGTTACCATTTTCTAACGAAATTCACGTTTTATTAATTTTGAATAAAACTAAGAGGGGGAAAGTTTTGACATTTGTTCTCGAGTTAGTTCTGCCGACGACAAATGAATAGAGACTAAAGATATTTCATTCACTTTTATCAGCTTTCGTACAGGTGGGGGCGGCCAATTTACACCACCGGCCAAATTACCCCACTCTCCCCTACCCACATCGACTCATACAGAGAACCAGACACATAGTAATTAGCGACACCACTGGCCACAACACTAAGACATCAGCTAGGAAAGCGAACAAAGACATCAAAAACAAGCATGACACTACATACGTATCACTGCCCTACATTGATGACACTTTGGCCCGCCGGGTAGACGGGGTGTTCAAGTCCTCAGGCTGACAGGCCCGCGTTGCTTGGGTCAGTGGAAAGACACAAGGTAAGATGGACCACAGTGGTCCGTCTTGCCCCAAATCTAAATTCTGTCATTATCATGACGTATATGTCAAATAGCCCAACATTGCAAAACCTTGCCTTTCCTAAAGTGTGACTATAACTAAGTTTATAACTTTGTTCTTCACAGTTAAGTGCAAAATAGAAACTAATCATGCAAGAAAGGCGCCGTAATTGAATCACCCGTAGACCTCTTATATTAGATCAGTTTAACGAAAAACAACATTTTTCTCAATAACTCAAAAGCTATGCATCCTAGCAACATGAGCTCAAGGTGGCCATTGTTACGAAGGAAAACAAACAGTGAGTGCATAAAGCAGTACCTACTAAGGACGTCAAACCCCTTAAGACCCCACTTTTTGCGATAATTTTTAAATGCGTCAACTCTCGTTTACCATATTCTGGCAATGTGTGTTTCAGAACCTGCCGAAACTTTTATTACTAAGGTATTTTGACGCCAAACGATTATGAAAGGTACTTCTCATTCACTCGTAATGCTAAGGTCAATTCAGGCCCGGGCAGAGGCTTGCGCTCGGCCACACTCGAGCCCCGCCACCAGCGCCATCTGCTCTTAATGTCATCTCCCAGCGCCCGCTACCGCTACCAGCTACCGCCCACCATCAAGCCTGAATGGAGCGAGAGACGCGAGTGACCGGTCGCCGGGCAAGGAGCGCCGGAGGGGTAGGGCGGAGCTTAGCGCTGACGTCATTACGTGGCTCCGCCCCATGAGCGCGTAGCCTCTACCCAAACAACAGATTCGTTCCGTGAAATTTAACATTACGAGTGAATGAGAAGCACCTTTCATAATCGTTTGGCGTCAAAATACCTTAGTAATAAAAGTTTCGGCAGGTTCTGAAACACACATTGCCAGAATATTGTAAACGAGAGTTGACGCATTTAAAAATTATCGCAAAAAAGTGGGGTCTCAAGGGGTTTGACGTCCATAGTAGATACCAGCAGCGGTTCAGCCGGGAGGGCTGGTGGTCCGTCTTGCCCCGCCGCGCTGGGACGTCTTACCCCACCTTCCCCTACACATTAGGTATTTGAAGGACTTTATAGCTCATACACATGGAAGAAACACAATGCGCTAAAATGAAATGTGATTAATAGCTGCAGCATAAGTTTGGCGTCCGATGCCTCTTCGCCAAGTTAAGACCATGCCAATCTCGGCCAGTCTGCCGCCGCGCCGGCACTGGCCGTGATGTGACGTCATCCGGCCGGCTGGGCGCTGGGTAGTTCCACACTTTAACTCGCGGCCCGGCCCGGCCTGTAACGCTTTTGAGAGGCTTATATCTCAGCAACCGCTGGACCGATTGGCCTGCGGTCTTTTTTGTTGGGTAGCCCTATCCCTTCTACCCCGTAATTGACTACTTTTGATACATCTCAGTGACCGTCGTGGCACATGCCACGTGAAAAGTCAAGGGTGTTTAAGCTGTTCTGCAAAAGTAGTGATTTTGAGAGGCTCATATCTCAGCAGCCGCTTGGGCGATTGTCTTGCGATAATTTTTGTAGGGTAGCTGCATCCCTTCTACCAAAGGTCGGATACTTTTGATCTATGTGAGTGACCCCCACTGCACGTGCAAAATGCAAAAAGAAGAGGTGCCAAATTTGTTCCCATTTCAATAACTCGGTAATTCATGGGGCGATTTCGCTGAAACTTGGCATACAGGTAGGCAGTAAGCAGTAAGCACCCACCAGGCCATGCATTCCCATGTGTTGCGGTTAGGGTGCTACTGCACGTGCGCACGTGCAGGGGGCGTTTCCAGATCTCGAGAACGGCTGGGCGGATTGCGCTCAAATTTGGTACACGATTGGGGACCGGTTGTTAGGGTGCCATGCGAAAGTCAGCTTGGACCCCGTTTGCACGTGCGCACGTGCAGAATGCCGCTTCCAGATCTCAGGAACGGCTGGGCCGATTGCGTTCAAATTTGGCACACCGCTAGCGACCAGCTAGCGAAGGGTGCTTTGCATAAGGCCGTTGGAAGTACCCTCGCGCCCTTCCGCACGTGCAGGGCTCACTATCTCGCTCGCTCGTTCTTCGCCCAAAAGGCGTTTTACTGGTTTCGTATGTCGACAAATTGTTCTCATATTCTGATGAAGGCGCAAGTCGAAATATATTAATATGTATTTTTCTTTTGAATACAATTACTAGTATGAGCACAAGGTTATTAATAGCATACCTAACAATTATATTAATGAATCGTTAAGGTCCGGCAAAAGTTTGGCGTCTGTGACCATTGTGACATTCTACCATAGGCGTAGGAACAGGGGGGGCCAGGTGGGCAAGTGCCCACCCACTTTTCGAGGTGGGGGGGCCAACCATGTGTTTTGGCCCACCCACTTTTTACTCGAGGCCCCTCGTCTCGATTTGAGAGGACGTCGTCACCTTCCAGAATAAACAAACTCCGTAAAAATAAGTTCCACGAATCCCCATGCACGGACTCCAAGGGGCCGTGATGGATCCAAGGAGGCCCTCTGTTCATACTTGTCAGTCGAAGCCCCTGAGACTGATGGCCTGAGAGGCCCTAGTGGATCTGAGGAGGCCCCAATATCCACACTAGTCTGGGGAGGCCCCTGACACTGGCAGTCTGGGAGGCCCCTCTATCCACACTATATAGTCAGATGTCTGAGACTGGTGGTCTGGGAGGCCCCTCCATCCACACTAGTCAGAATAGGCCCCTGACACTGGCGGTCTAGCCGAGGCCCCCTACCCTCACTAGTCAGAGGAGGCCCCTCTATCCTCAATAGTCAGATGAGGCCCCTGAGATTGATGGTCTGGGAGGCCTATCCATCTACACTGTAGTCAGAGGAGGCCCCTGAGACTGATGACCTGAGAGGCCCTTATAATCACACCAGGCAGAAGAGGCCCATGAGACTGATGGACTGAGAGGCCCTTCTATTCATACTGGCCAGAGGAGACCCCCAAAACTTTCGGTCTAGGAGGTCCCTCAATCCGGCACCAGCCAGAAGAGTCCCCTGAGACTGATGGCCTGGGAAGCCCTTATATTCACACTAGGCAGAGGAGGCCCCTGAGACTGATGGTATGAGAGGCCCTCATATTCACACCAGTCAGAAGAGGCCCCTGAGGCTGATGGCTGTGAGGCCCTTCTGTTCATATAACTGGCCACTGGAGGCCCCTGAAAGCGGTGGTCTGGGAGGGCCCTCTATCCACACTAGTCAGAAGAGGCCCCTGAGACCGATGGTCTGAGAGGCTCTTATATTCATACTGGCCACAAGAGGCCCCTGAGACTGATAGTCAGAGAGGTCCACTCCTAATGAATCTGAGGGGGCCCTCTATCCACATTTACACTTTTCTAGGGAGGCCCCCGAGACTGATGGTCTGAGAGGCCCTTTTATTTATACTGTCCACAGGAGCCCCCTGAGATTAATGGTCTGAGAGGCTCTTCTATTTATACTAACCAGAGGAGGCCCCTAGGATTGATGGTCTAACAGGCCCTTCTATTTATACTAGCCAGAGGAGGCCCATGAGACTGATGGTCTGAGAGGCCCTTCTATTCAAACTAAGCAGATGAGGCCCCTGAGAATGATAGTCCGAAGAGCCATGCGGCGGCAACTGGCCGTGGCCATATTACGGCTCGGTAGGGCCCCACAGAGCTCATGAGAGCACCTCAAGGGCTCCTAAGTAGACACGCTTATCCCCATAAGGATGCCACGCCGGCTTCTGAAGGCTCCTTGTAGGCATCTAAGGGCCCTTTCCGGCCTCTAACGGCTCCACCCGCCTGTGATGGCTCCACGCCAGTGTTTATGAGCGCCACACAGCGGCGCCTTTGAGGGTCATACTGGTGTCTCTTAGGGCCCTATATCGGTGGCTCTGGGGGCCCCACACCGGCGGCGCGGCGCCTCTGTGGACTGTGGGCCACCACACCTGTGCATCTCAAGGCTCTATAGGTACATTTGAAGGACCCACACCGACACCTCTGAGGGCCCCACACCAGTATCTCGGAGCTCTGAAGGCCCCCAGTGACTCCGAGGACTCACCGGCTCCTGAGAGCACCATGTTGATGTCTAACGGCTCCACAAGGCCACTGAAGGCACCACACAAGCTCTCACTGAGCTCTAATGTCCATGTACCGGCCTCTGAGCGATTTAAGCCAGCGCATTCATAGCTCCACACCAGCAATTGTAAGAGCTTCACACTGAAGTATCTGAGGGTTCCACAGCGGTGTCTCTAAGGGCCACATACCGGCATCTCTGAGGGCCCCATACCGGCGTCTCCGAGGGTCCACATCTGGCGGGCGCCCATCAGCGACTGAAGGTCCCACACTGTCGACTCCGAGAGCCCCATCTGCGTCTGGGAGCACCTCTAAGTCTAATCTCTAAGAACCACAGCGGCTCCTCCGTACGAAAGATGGGCGTCTGCACGCCAAAGGGGAGCGGTTCTGAGACAGTAGGGCACCTACGTGCAATAGAGGGGCGCCTATGAAGCCCATAGGGGCGCCTCAATGCGAAAGAGGGGCGCCTCTGAATCCTACATATATGGGCGTCCACATGCAATAGAGATCTGCAGACTGCAATTGATCAATGCCATGGGGCCTGGGGGTGCATTCATAAGAAACAGGAGCGCCGGCATGGCAAAGAGAGGCGCCTTCAAGTGTCCATAAAAGAGAGACGTCTATGATAAGCGCACATTGTATGCGACAACGGGGCGACTGTGGGACATATAGGGATGTCTCTGATGACTATACATAGGGCGCTTATATGCCAAAGAGGGCGCCTATGAAGCTAATGGGGGCACCTGGGATTGGGAAACGAGGAAGACATTTGTGTAAGGGTTTTCAGGGGTCATGCGCCGTTTGCGGCAAATAGATTCTAAAAAAATCGGAGGGGGAATAAGTTTTAAAAATGGTGCGCGGACTTTCCGCACTGTTCGCTTAAAGGTAGACTGCCACCTTTTTTCCACAAAACGGTTTTCACTAGAGCTGAGCCACCTATGTCCCAGACTGAAGTCGGTTTTCCGAAATTCGAACCCGTTTGCGAGAAATCGGAGACCAAAGTTCAGTTTGATGCCATTTTTTAGTCCAAGAAAACCGACATCTCTACTGTTTATCGATAATTTTGAAAAATGAATTTTCTTATCTTTTGGTAAATATATGTCAAAACTTTGATTGTTTCGAGATCAGAGAAGAATTTTGGAGTGTCAAAATAAAAGTTAAACTTATATATTCAGTAGTTCATTTTTTCCAAAAAAAAAGTGTGGGAAATGGGGTTTAACATGGGCCAGACCCATTCCAAATGAGCCATGATTTTTAAATGTTTTACGAACTTAAATGCAAAATAAATTAAACATGGCCAATTTCTTATGAAATCATATATTAGTAAATCATAAAATACCTTACTTTTTCAAATAAAATGTAATAATCTTATGACCTTGAAGTCTAGTGATGTGTAAACATTGTCGCTAGACATTAACCGATTGATAATTGTATGATAATCGACAATTTTTTCGCGATTCACGTGATGATACTTTGTCAGGTGAATTCTAAAATTTTGTTTTGTCCAGGGAATAAATCATAGGCCGATCTGAGAAAACTTTTTGAAGGTGGCAGTCTTCCTTTAAGCGGTTACGCCCCTGGGTACATCTGCCCGAGCTCAGAAGCTAGATTTGGAGGTCATACTTGAAAGCAGCCAGCAGGACGAGGCAAAAGTTGGAGGCCCCTGAAAATAGGAGGCCCCCTGGAAAAGGAGGCCCCTTGACAGGGTGGCCCACCCACTTTTCATGACGTTCCTACGCCCGTGCATTCTACCGTGTCTTTAATATCACCAGGCGCGTAGTACTGCGCCGGGCACATATTCACGTCACGGCGCCAGCGCATCTATTTTGTCCCGGCCCATCAGACACCAGGTAGGTATATTTCTAATACAAATCCAGTCCGAATGGATGAGTGGGTACAGGGTGACTGTGGTGTCAGCTGGGCATTGCTTGTTACGAATGCCCCTACAGACCAACCACCCGACCTTTCCAGTCCCAGCGCCCGGTTCGCCAGTGATGCGCCTTGGAAGTATCCGGCCCCGAAGTCCTTGGCGCACGAAACCCACACCTTACCCACTAGGCCACATCAAGGGCTAAATAAATATATCTCCCACCCCCTGATCGAATTAGTGCTTCGCATAAAAAGCCAGCCTGTTGTCCATGACCAGAGAAAGCCGATGATAACGAATTTTAACCCACGCATGATTGGGGTATTTTCCATAACGCGAGTGACTGGGGGAGGGGGGCTCTGGAGCTCTCCAGAGCTCCAGAGCTATCTCCCCTGCTATCTCCGAAACTACTGGGCCGATCGTCAAAATTCAAACGGCGTCTGATAGCCCTGGAAAAACTGTCGAATGAAACCTATTTTTATTGACCTCGAGGTCACCGATGACTTCACAGATCAGGTCAAAGTAAAAAGTATGAGCATTTTTGCTTGTTCACAATTTAGGCTCTGACCGCCGGCTGACAAGTCCGATCAAGCTTATTTTTGGTTTACGCACTCCTTGATATATGCCTTAGATACCCTGAGGGTACCGAACTTTTACTTCGAATTTTTCAGGTCAAGGTCAGGTCATCCTAGGTCACGAAAATTATATATCATGGATCGGTCACGTAACGCATGTGTTATGGTCCATTCTACTCGTAGTTTTCGAAAACAATATCGTCTGTGTCATTTGAGGTCAATTTCAGCTGAATTTACCGGAGGTCAGGTCACTTTCAGGTCAGAAAAGGTCAAATTTCGAAAATGAAATCTTTCAACAAAAAGGTGCCTATCAGATGCTGTTTGCGTTCAGGAACACGATGGTGCCATTTATATTGCTGTGCAATGTCAAAAACGTACTGAAAATGGTTTTGAAAAAATTATAATTTTAAAATTTTGACAATACCTAATGCAAATAACTTGGCTATTTTTGAAGGTATTGAGCTAAAACTTGCTAGAGTAGTTTATCAGTGTGTTTTCTATCACATATATTCCGGTTTTTGCGAAATATCAAAAACTTTTTGAAAAAATCAAAAAAGATATTTTTTGTAATTATAAAAATATATTTTTCAAAATTTTCAAAATTTCGAAAAATCGAGACAGTAGTTTGATAGATACGTGTACCTATTTGTAGTCCACTGATGCAAAGAAATTCGATCTAGCTTTAAAACTAAGCTCCTGAGAGCGTTTGACGTAATTATATATTTTGCATCAAAATCGGCCGACATGACGTCACTCTGACGTCATTTCCGGCCAAACTATGGTAGCTAGAAAGTTGAAATTTTAACACAAGGTGTCAAATTGATGCCGCTCAGGTTGTTGCAAATTTCGTGTTGATCCGTCAAACGATTTAGAAGATATTGCCAAAAAACGGGAGGGGGGCTCTGTAGAGCCCCCCCCCCCCAGTCATGCGCGGGTTAATCTCCTAGGTCATTGGTTGCCTTTCCAGATCAACGCCCGTCAAGTCAATAACCCAAAAGTCGGGCAAATCGGAACCCCGCAAGAACTTCTTAAACGAACGTTGTGCGGTTTTCGGGGTGCTGATATCCAATTTGATATGATGTGCATCAAAGATTGGGTAGCTGGCCGCCGAAGCTGCCCAGTGCCCACCTGCCGTCCGGCATTGTTTCCCGGTGCGGCACGAGCTCCGCGTGACGCGGTCGTCCTCCGCGGGGCGGACCGGGTGGTCGTGGCTGCCGCACAGACCGAGCGGTAGCTCAGCAGCTCTCAACAGCATTGTCAGACTCAGGACCAAACAGCAGCTCTGGAGCCTGTGCCAGAGCCGAGCCTAAAAAAATTCAAGATTAGACATAGGTGAACAAACTCACATGCAAAGTGTCATGCAGGGCCTGCTTGAATCTAGAAAGATTTGGAGCACATACTGCCTCCGTGGGGAGGCCATTCCAAATATTAACACATCTCGCGATGAAAAAAATGCTTCCTAACATCTGTGCGTATTTGCAAGGGAAAGATCTTGTGAGAGTGACCTCTTGGGAGAGTCTGGGGACACAGGAACAGTTCATTAGCAGCAATACAAGACTTTCCATTGAAGACCTTCCAACACTGAATGAGATCGGCGTGTGTCAATCGACCCTGAACCGAATACAACTGCAGCTACCGCTAGCAATCAGCGTAACTCAATGAGGCTAGCGCATTGATTTGCTTAGTCCAGCGACGCTGAACCTTCTCCAAGAGTCGCATATCTTCCATGTAGCCAGTGTGCCAGACACAAGAGCAATATTCTTACTTACTTACTTATTTAAATTAAATTTTACTTCTACACTTGTCACCTCGGAACTGGCCTCTGTGGGCTGTCCGACAACAAGCCTTGCTTAGTTGGACGGCCCTGCAGGGTTCAATAACTGATCCTGCTCGAATTTGACCAGAAAGATCACTTTCAACCATCCACTTTATTTGTATGACTGCTCCCCCTCTATCACCTTCCTCCCACTAACATTACCCTGTATGAGTGTGTATCTGTGGGCATTCCAGGGGTGTAGGAGGGCAGTCACTAACTGTTTGCAGTTGTGACCACTTTGCTTCTCTTATGTTAACATATTAACAGCATGCTCACTCCACAGCTATTTGCTTTCTATTGTTTCGTTTTTTCCTTACTCTTAGCAGGGAGTGCCGCAACTTGTCATACCTATTAAGTTTGGTCTGGTGTTAACGTAAGGTTCTGTGTGTCGCTGGGATAGAGGGAGGGCACACTCCTGATCACCTATTTATGGGTGGCTGTGTAGAAAAAAAAATATTCAAGCATTGGATGGATGCGAGTAAGCAACAGGAACAGCATAAACTCGCACGAACGGCAGACAACTTCAACAGATTATGTGCCACACCAACACTGCCAAACCACTAGATTTACGAACCAAATCCCTGATATGTTCATGAAACTTTAATTGGCAGTCAATGGTAACGCCCAAGTCCAAGTTGAAGTGTCTCTCAACACAAGCGATCTGTTGGCCGTCAAGAAAGTACCTACTTTGGGGAGACAAGTTACTTACATTTGCATAGTGACATAAGATATCAAATCAAAACAACCAAGCTTTGAATTCGTCAGCAATTCAATTCATATCGGCAACCAACCACCCTTCATTAAAAATCGACCAAGCAACTTGAAGTAAAGTTGAGGTGTAAGCGGTGTAAGTCCAAATCCTCCAAATCAAAGTCCGCACGGCACGGACCCATTGTAACTTGATAACAACGCATGACGATATTGCTAGTGTTCTTAGACAGCAGAGCTCAATGAAAATATATCTTATCCGCTCTCCTAATTGGTTATCACGCTTTGCAATGTCGCCCGTTGATTTGCGTTTGCTTGGTATCGTTCGCATGAAGGTTGCGAGAGAACGATATTGTAGCTTTCATACGCAACCGAAGTGTGACGTCATGACTAGTGGCTGGGGCATAATCAGCTGACGGCCCTGTGTTAAAGCAATGGGACGAAATTTTATCGGTATTTTTAGCAAAAACTGGACCTAGTTAGATAGTTTGGGGGCCAGTTTCTAAGTAAACTGAGTATATTCTATTTTTCTACGCCCAAAAAATGCTATGTTTTAAAGCGAAAAGGGCCGAACTTCGGGAATTTGTTACCGGCGGCGAACTTGACGCACCAAATACATGACCTTGAAGACGCGAACTGCGACCACGTTGTAGGATTTTGGTGCGAAAAGTTTGACAGATTTGAGTTTGAGCTGGTTAAATATTTTTTATTTGTAAAAAGCAAAGGAGAAAATTTACAATATTAGTTATTTTATAAATCTTTTTTATTTTTTATCTATCATTTTAAACCTCTTGATCAGAAATGTTTTGTATTTCTGCGTCAACTTCGCCGCAAATTAGGTTTTCACCAAATTTTGTGCTTTGCGTTATTAGATTTTGCAATATTTTTCCATAGAAAAATAGACCATACATCGTTGTCCTAAATCCAGCTACTAAAACTATCTAACTCGGTCCAGTTTTTTAAGGAAAGATCGGCAAAGTATTGCCCCATTGCTTTAACACGGGGCCGTCAGCTGATTATGCCCCAGCCACTTATCGTGACGTCACGACTTCGGTTGCGTATAGCTTTCATTTGCTTTCATTCCAAATCTGTCTGTAGCATTTGCGTCATATATGAAATATAAACTTAAAAAAACGTGACCTGCAAATTAAAAATGTGAGTCGTTTGAAAAAATCGAAGCACCACGGCATGAAAACAGTGCGTTGTTTTTATCGCGTCATGTATGTATGTATCTATTTTGAGGAATATATCTTCCCCTTACGTATCCCCGGCCCCCCAAAAGTGAGTTTATACCTACCTCGAGGCAGTAGCGGCGAAACACCTTCACTGCACTGTAGGCAGGCGCGGAACCAGGGGGGGGGGGCGACGGGGGCGGCCGCCCCCCCCCCCCCGCCATCCGAAAAAGGCGCCCATATCCCGCGGCAGAGAGGGCGCCCCGAGCAGAAGAGCGGCGACACAGCAAAGGTTCAGCAGAAATAGGGCGCCTCCAGCAGAAGTTGGGCTCACCAAGCAGGAGAGTGACGCCCAATTGCCTATTCCCAGCAGATGAGAGTCGCCCCAGCAGCAGATGGGCGCCCCAGCAGAAGAGGGCGTCTCGTTACAAGAATATAAAATACCTTCTGTTCAAGAGGGGCGCCCCTGGAAGCGGAAGGGCACCCTTAGCAGGAGACGTGTCCCCCTGAAGAGGAGCGACTGACGCCCCAGCAAAAGGAGAGAGGCGCCCCCATTCCGAGAAGAGGGGCGCCCTGACAGCAGCTGGGCGCCCCAGCAAAAAAGGAGCCCCATAATAAGAAAATGGGTGCCACTGGCAGAAGAGGGGCGCCCCAGCAGAAGAGAGGGGTCTCCAGCAGGAGACGGGCGCCCCAAGCAGAAGAGGGGCGCCCCAGCAGAAGAGAGGCGCCACAGCAAAAGTTAATCAGAAATAGGGAGCCTCCAGCAGAGGTTGGGCCCGCCAAACAGGATATGGGCGCCCCATTGACAATATCCGGCAGAAGACAGACGCCCCAGCAGCAGATGGGCGCCCCCGGTAGAAGAGGGGCGACCCATTACAAAAAGAAAAGGAGTATATTCTACCAAGAGGGGCGCCCCTGACGACAGCGGAAGGGCAACCCCAGCAGAGGGGCGGTGCCCCAGTAAAAGGAGAGGTGTGCCCCGTTCCGAGCAGCAGAGGGTCGCCTCGCCCCAGAAAAAAAAAACAGGAGCCCCATAAGAAGAAAAGGGGTGCCTCTGGCAGAAGAGAGACGTTCTCCGCAGTGGAAGGGCGCCCCCACAAGAGAGGCGTCTCCAGCAAAAGAGAAGTGCCCCCTGCAAGAGAGGGGCACCCCACCAAAAGTTGGGCAGAAGTGGGGCGCCTTCAGCAGAATTTGGGGTCGCCCAACAGCCAACAGGAGAGGGCCGCCCTATTCACAGTAGAAAAAGACTCCTCAGCAGCAAAGGGGCGCCCTAACAGAAAAGGTGCACTCGTAGTAGAAGTGGGACGCATCAGGAAGAAGAGGCAGGGGCGTAATCACTCCTCAAAAAATGGGCTGGAAATAGCTCCCTCCGGGGGCGGCATCAAATGCCAAGGGAAGGGCGGCACTTGTGTTTCGGGAGCCAGAGGTGAGTACTTGAGGGCATTTACTGTGTCGCTGTTGTGTGTCAAATTCTTACGCTTTGTGAAATACGAACAATAATCAGCAGTCAACTGACTACACGTTATAAGGGGCAGACGCAAAGAACACGCCACAGCTCTGGTGTTCGAGATACTGGTACTTTATGCGGTAGATATGCATGCGTAAGATGGGTGGTCAGCCCGCTGCTGTCAGTTTGACTTTGCTACTACGCACCGGATTGATAAATGATAGGCACACTCTTCAATAGTTCACTTCATTCAGGTGAGTTCAATTGCAATGGGATCTGACCATGGGCGTCGAAAGCGGGAGGGGGGGGGGGCCTCAGCGGTCTCTAAGGGCCCTTACCGGCCAGAGCGTCCTAACCAGCCTGAGGGGCCTTACCGGTCCATTAGGGGCCAGCTCTAGGGGCCCCAGGCCACACCCGTCTGTGACGGTCCCACACCAATTTCTTTGAGGGCCCCGTAATGGCGACTGATAGCCCTCACCGGCGCCTCTGAGGGCCTAAACAGGTCCCGAAGGTCCCTCACACGGGCACGAGGGGCCCTGTGGCGCCAATTGGCCGTTGAGGGTTTACTGACCATATTTCTGTCATATTTCGACTCAGAAGTGCCCCACAGGGCTCGTAAGGACATCCCATGGGCCCCTGAATAGCGACACTAAGTTCTCCATAAAGGCCCTACGCCACCTTCTGAGTATCCCTTGCTGGCTTCTGAGGGCCCTTACCGGCCTATTACGGGCCACCTCTAGTGGCCTCGAACCCGCCTGTGATAGCCCCACACAAATTTCTGAGGGCCCATAACGGCGACTCTGAGGGCCCTCACCGGCGCCTATGAGGTCCCAAACCGGCGTATCTGAGGGTCCCCCCCCAACTCTGACGGCCTACACCAGTGTCTCTAAAGGCCCTGTATCGGCGGTTCTGAGGATCCCACATCAGTGGCTCTGACGGCCTCACACTGGTGACTCGGAGGGTACCAGCAGCATCTGAGAAAACCATGCCGGTGTTTAAGGACCCCACAGGGCTCCTCAAGGCACCACCGACTTCTGAAATCCCCTTGTCGGCTTATGAAGGGTCCACAACAGCAGCTCGCGCCTCTGATGGCCCTGTGTCTCTGAGGGACTCCACATTGGCGCCTGTGAAGGGCTTCACCGGCGACTGTGCAGGTCCTACACCGGCGCTTCTGAGTGCCCCCACACTGCCACCTCTGAGGGCCTCATACCAGTGCTTCTGAGGGCCCCACGCTGGCACTCCTGAGGGCCCGCCCCACACCGTGCCTCTTTAGGACCTTTATCAGCGGCTCTGAGGACCCAACATCGGCGCCTCTGAGGGCCCCACACCAGCGCATCTGACGGCCACCCACCGGTGACTTTTGAGTGCCCTACATCGGCGACTCTGAGGGCCCCACCGGCGTCTGAAAGTATTGTGCCGGTCTCTAAGGACCCCACAGAGCTTCTGAAGGTATCGCCGGCCTATGGGAGCCCTTTGCTGGCCTGAGGGCCCCTTGCTGGTCTCTGAGAGCCCCCTGCCGGCTTGTAAGGGGTTCAGACCAGCAGCTCTAGCCTCTATGCCTATGGGCCCCACATTCGTCTGTGACGGCCCCACACCAGTGTCTCTGAGGGCCCACAACGGCGCCTGTGAGGAACCTCACTGGCGTCTCTCAGGGCCTGTGTGAGGCCCTAGCACTTCTAGCACTTCTAGCTTCTAGCACTTCTGAGGGTCCACACCGGCACCTCTTTGGCCTCAGTCATCAATAATACCTCTGAGGACCCCACAATAATGCTTCCGAACCGGTCCTACCGAAGGCACCACTTAACCCTCGCCCGTATAGGGGGGGGGGCGGTCGAACGGACCCCCCCATGGTTTTTCGCGAATAAATCGCGTAAAAAGCGGCCGATCGCGACGAAACTGTGAGTGCCCTCGCGTTTATCAATTTTACACCTACCCTTAAAATTTCATGACCCTGACCCTAATGACCTTTGACCTGTGACCTACTTTTCGAGACCATGTTTGGCCGGAATCGCGATTCGGCTGATGTCGGCTCGCATTAGCCGCGCGTTTGCAGTCTTTTCGTGGTTTCAAGCTTTCAAACATGGGATATGATGTTGCTCCCATGCATTAGGGTGGGTGTCAAGGTCACCGGAAGGTCAGGTCAGGTCATTGACCTTTGATGACCTCGGTTCACTTTTTCGAGTTTTACATGTTTCTAGGCTAGTTTTTTAGCTGAATTCGAATTTAGCAACCATTTGAACATTTACCAAGTAGTTTTGGTGCCTTCGTAACATGTTACGAAGCTGTCAGAGGCGGTTGCCACCTACTACGAATATCCGGCAAACCCTTACTGGTTGACCTGACCTGACCTGACTCGACCTGGCCTAAATGCATTAAGACATCATCTATTATCATAACCAACATGATATTCGTAATCAGCACCCTAAAAACCCCATAGTAACCACGTTTTACGACGTTCTAACTGGTCCCGATTTTCCCGACTTTTGGGTCATTGACCTGACCTGGAAGGTCAACCGATAATCTAGGACCTTAAAATTGGGTATCATCGGCTTCCTCTCGTCACGGGCAACACGCTCGTTTTTTTCCGCGAAGCTCTAGGTCGATCAGGGGCGAAACGGCAAGGGGGGCCAACGGACCCCCCCCCCCC